GATGGAGCTGCTTACAAAACCGTCGCAAGAGAATTTAAAATTAATGTCATGACACTTAAAAGACTATGCCGTCGAGACTCTTATGTTCAACCTGGTTTTACCAATAGACAAATTTTGTCCAAACGTCACGAGGATGAGCTAGGAGCGTATCTTGTTCATATGTCTAAAATGTATTATGGACTTACCGTTGTACAATTGCGTAAGGTAGCTTACCAATTCGCCAAAGCAAATAAGATGAAATACCCCTCTTCATGGGATCACTCGCAACAGGCGGGTCGCGATTGGTATCGTGGATTTTTGGAGAGACAGCAAACTCTATCCTTAAGAACTCCAGAGCCTACCAGCTTGGCGCGAGCGACAGCGTTTAATAAACACACCGTGGCGGAATTTTTTGGAAATTTGACTGCAGTTTTTAATAAGCACGAATTTACTGCCGAAAGGGTGTGGAATATTGACGAAACAGGGGTAACAACTGTCCATAAACCCAGCAAAATTATTGCAGTTAAGGGTTCCAAACAAGTAGGAAAAATGACATCGGCCGAACGAGGTGAGCTGGTTACCGTTTGTGCCTTTATCAACGCTGCCGGGGGCCACATCCCGCCATACATGATATTCCCCCCGAAAAAACTGGCAGGATAGGTTCCTCAATCATGCCCCTCCTAGCAGCGATGCAACTACTCATCCTAGTGGATGGATGACGGGCGACAGTTTTATAAAATTCCTCAAGCATTTTGTTCGTCATGTTCAACCCAACGCTGATAGGAAACACCTCATCATCATGGACAATCACGAGAGTCATTGTTCTGTCGACGCCCTCAACTACGCAAAAGACAACGGAATCGTTCTTCTCACAATTCCACCACACACATCCCACAAGCTGCAGCCATTAGACAGGACTGTTTTTGGCCCCTTAAAAACCTTTTATTCTCAGGCAGCATCAAATTTTATGCTGAGACACCCCGGGAGAACAATCACAATCTACGACGTTTCGGAACTGTTAGGGGAAGCTTTCCCAAGGGCTATGGTGCCTACCAATATAATTAGTGGCTTCAGGGCGGCTGGAATATGGCCCATAAATGCCGACATTTTCACGGAGAGTGAGTTCATGACCAGTTTAGTTACGGACCGCCCTCCCCCTTCTCAACTTGAAGAACCAACACAGAGAAGTGTGATAGCGTCGGACTGCCCTCTCCCTTCTCCACTTGAGGAGCCCGTACAAAGCAGCAGTGTGAGTGAACGCGCTTCCCCATCCTCACTTGGAGGATCAGTGCCGATGCACTTTTCACCACAGGACATCATGCCCTACCCCAAGGCAGGTCCACGCTCGCAGTCGTCGCGCGGGAGAAAGCGAGGACGTACTCGCATCCTAACCGATACTCCGGAAAAAGCAGCCATCGAAGAACAATCAAATAAAAAGTTGGCGAAGATAGCAGAGATAGAAATGAAAAGGAAGATTAAAGAAAATAGGCCTACCAAGAAAACAGTGAGACAAATCTTTTCACTAAAAAAAAATTGACGATGACACCTCATCTGATTCTGATGAATGTCCTCCACTTCCATCATCGTCAGGGGGGGAAGAAGAGTTATGCAGTGATGGCGAGGGTCATAGAGCTTTTGAGCCCATCAGAAAAGAAGTAGGGGAATTTGTAGTTGCAATTTACAATGGTTTGTCATACCCAGGAAAAATTACAAAAATACATGAAAACGGGGCTACAATAAAAGCAATGGAAAAAAGTGGAAGGCTTTGGAAGTGGCCAGCAAGGGAAGACGAAATATTTTATGTGTGGGGTGACATTTTGGGACACTTGCCGGAGCCGACGAAATTTTCAAAAACACGTGACATTTATTCCGTGCCACTTCTCGAATAATTTTCCCATTTATTTTTTGTCTGTGTTTTAAATTTTTTTATGTTGTTTTCATTTTGTACCTACTCATCTTTCGAATCGTTAATTACAACTTATTAAAAGTAGACCTAAGTTTATTTAATTTCCATATTTAGGTAGGCCTATGGCTGAAACTTTGACGGGTGGGATGATTGATCCTCCGGGATCATACAACCCACTCACCGGGATCAAGTATCCCCATAGGGAGGGTTACTTGATCCTTGTGTCGGACTTTAAAAAAACCCTTTTTGTCGTTTTTTTTAATAAATAAGAAGGTCTGTATTGGTGCTAAATCAGTAGTATTGAACGGAAATACATGTGTGATTTAAAAGAAAGTCAGATTTATGAAAATGGTTCGAATTACTAAAAGAAAACCAAAACAGGGATCAAGTATACCACCTCTCCCCTATTTCGTATGGTGAGTGTAGAGAACCGGCGACCCATTTTACTGGTAACGAGGCATTCCATCTTAGTCCTCACGGGTGACAACACATCTGCATTTTGATTCGTAATCGAGGATAGATGTAGATGTCTATGGGCCACAGCAACCACTTACCATCAGGTGGACTGTGTGCTCGATTGTCACCCTATCCTATAAAAAAAAAACTCTGGCCACAAAATAATGTAGGCCCAAGTTAAAGAACTAAACAATTTTTATTTTATTAACAGACGCTCGTCCGTCTCCGTTCGTTGTCGACGTATCACGCTTTCTAACCAAACGGTTTGCTTCATCGTTCGTAATGCATGCACACACAGGAGTGAAATAATTTCCCAGCATCTGCCTTTCCATCCGATTACAATGTGGGGGTCTACAAAGTAAGAGTGAAAAGCTTTTATGTTAAGTCATCATATATCATAAACACACACCTGTCAGCCAGAGGGATAGGCGGAGACTACAGACTACCATTTGGCACGATCTTGACACGCCTCTCGCCTCCTCCACATCTATATACCTGCGCATATATGCTCGTCAGTTAAGGGTACTCTTAATTTGGCCTTTTTTCAATATATCCCCAATTTGGTCGATAAACTTTCGCCTAGAACGTCCCTTTCCGACTCTGCCGTTTACTTCTGCAACATAAATTTGCTTTGTCACGTTCCTCATTTAATATTTCTACATGAACAAACCACCGAAGCATTCCTTTCTTAAACTTCTTCACAACATCATCTTGCAAACCACACTCTTATCTTATCACACAAATTCTCACCCTGTTACTCAGATTCAGCCCTAACATACTCCTTAGCGACCGCATTTCTACTGCATTTATGCTACTTTCGTGCTTCTTCTGCCACACGCAATTTTCACTACCATACGTTAAAGTAGGGACTAACACAGCACTGTGAATTGCCATATTTTTCACAATGGAGTGTAGAGCCCCATTTACTCTATTTTCTGCGTTCACTCGTCGTTCTATGTTCTTACGATAGGTATCTCCCGTTCCCTGCTGAATACACATCCCAAATATACAAACTCATCTACTTGCTCGACCAACTATTTTATTTTAAGTCAGTAAGCTTTAACATCTTCGGCAGCATTACCATTTACTATCAGGTCGGATAGTTGTTAAGTACCGGCTTATAATAGATAAATAAAGATCGCGTATTCGTTAGGAAACGTTACAATTTATGACATATCCCTAAGAACACTATCACTGAACAAATTAAAAGTTGGTGACTTACTGTAAATATTAGGCATGAATACTTCGTGTCTAAAGTACTTCATATGTATTACTTTAGGTCAGTAACCCTATGTAGTAGGTACATCGATAAGCGTACAAATATAATAGCGTCTGTTGTTGCTGATGAGTCATTGGTGATAGAATTAAAATTCGGATAACACACCGTACTAAAGATTTCGTGTCCAAAATGTATTATCAACGAATCTATATTATTTTATCGCTCATGGTTGCCAAGTGTAAGTCCATTGCTATATTATCTAGTATATTGAGTCGACTACAAGATAAGTATATTAACTTTCCTAGTCTACAATAGATGGCGTGAATCGGGATAACCGTTCCATAAATTGTAAGCTGGAAACAACGCCTCGTTAGTCCAAATTAGTAGTTAAGGCCAAAAAAATCACTTATTAAGTTTATCTGTCAGAAACTTTCAGCAGCATCACGGAGTCATAAAGTTTACGGTGTTTAACTCCCGTGCTTCGAAAAGTACGTAAGAGCGTTGGTCCTGCACCTGATCTCTCCCTGATCGTGTCAGTTTCCCGTCCTATCGGATTAGAGTGAGACAATAGTGAGTGCACCTGTGCTTTCGCTCACATTCGGGCACTATTATCTTTTCCTGGGCAAATAGCTAGTATCCGTCGCGACTGAACGTGGTGACTGAAATCCAATCCAGTACGGCCTCCGATAGTTGTGCAACACATTGTCACATTTGTCATCATTATCTGGCCGTCATCTTTAAGATTTTTTTAAGTAATTCCACGTTTATTGGCGTTCGCACGTATAAACTGCACATGAATAAACACCTAAGACTTGTTATAATGAGAGTGTTATGTTCATGTTCATTGATGAATGATCCGTGCAGGAATCGAAACAGCAACATCCCAATGCCTGGCCACTGCGCTATGAGTCGTCGTTTCTTTCAATTAAATACCGTAGATAGATAGGTACTTAAATAAATATATTATTTTGTTATATAAGTTAGTCTGAACCGTTACTCGAGCAGGAATAATATTGCAATCACATAAGTGATAAGATAGCTATATCCGAGACATATTTTTTTTTTCATTATCAATTAGGCATAATTACACCAGTTCGTCGTGTGAATATTAGTAGATCTAGGTACAACGTAACAATGTCCACTCTCTTAGTACCAGTAGCGGTATCCATGTTTATTGTATTGATATTCAAGTATTTAAATATGAAACATACTCCACCTATTTTGGGTATATATCAGCAAAAAAATAAAGGATACTGGATTAAATTTACTTTTATGTACACGGTCCTGAGTATCAAACAGGTTTGTCTTTGCGTTTCTTACAAAAAAAAAAAAAATTGAACTAATTTTACTTCGGCTTCCTAAATTTAAACATTTATTTTCTATCGAAAAAATAACCCTAATTTGTTTTAATCATTATTTTTTTAGTTGATTAACCACATTATGCGACTATTAGCTGTAGAATTTGGGCACGACCTTAATAGTCCCGAAAACGAATACATACTTCAACGCGATTTGAACTTGGAACAAAAGTATGACCTAGGAGATTATTCACAGGTGAGTTAGTTCTAAGCCCAAGTTAAAATAAAATTAATTAGGTACTTAATTTTATCAAGCATGAACGTATATTGTTTTTTGTAAGGCGGTAGATGGAGTTTACTTCAACGGAATGTCCAAAGAAGGTGCTGCAGTTGTATGTGGTTTAGCGCGTAGGCCTAAACATTGCTGCGACGCTTTCTTATATCTAAAGGTAATTATTTTTGTAAATTTTATTTAATAGAATAAGGGTGACAAACGAGCACACACTCCACCTGATGGTAAGTGGATGCTGTGGCCCATAGACATCTACATCCATTCTCGATTAATAATCAAAATGCAGATGCGTTGTTACCCCTGAGAACTAAGATGGAATGCCTCATTTGTAGTAAAAAAGGCTCTCCGGATCTCTACACTCACCATATGAAACGCAGCAGTGTTAAGCTGCTATTTTACGCTGGTATTCTGTGAGAGCGTGGTCCTTCCCCGGTCGAGCCGACTCATTCGTGCTACAACCATAATATAGCTGCAGTAATTATACCACATACAAAAAATTAATTTACAAGTTACTTTAAGTGAATAAAAATAGTTGAAATGACAGTCAAAACATGTAGCACTACTGAGCTTGCTGCCCTCATTTTTGAGATATAACAATAAATTCTGTGGTAATGGAGCAATTTGTCTGCCATGTTGCTACAGTGCGTGGGACTAACTGCACATGTTCTCAAAATATTTTATTTCTCCTACATGCAAGTTTCCACCCGATGATGTCCTTCCACGAGCACGTGGTAAATTAATACTTAAAAGTGAAACGTCGTGAATAAAATAAAATAAATTAAGTCAAATTAAACGCGATAAAATCCACAAAGCTAATCAATGGTTATTGCGGTTAGTCTGAACGAAGACTAGCCATCTCATACTTTTGATTATGATAATGTAATAACTATTCGTACTCATAATTATCATATTAAATCTAAGTATGTATAATTAATTGCTAATGTCGTTAAGAAATAAATTTTAATTTAATATTTGCATGCCAAAATGATAGAATGTGTGGATCTTTTATGTACTCTGTCAACATCTTATTGTGAATACCTACATTCAAGGCAAATAAAGTGTAATATATAAATCAATGCAAATAAATAAATATTGGGCAAGAGTATGTGCGCAAATGCAAAGAAAAAATTCCGATGTGACGCCAATCTGATACGATCGGAGAGATCAGGCGTAGAGCAAACATCTCCACCCGTTTTCCGAGGCACAAATGTGAAACACCGTCAATTTTCAGACTTCAGGCTGTTACTAAGATTTCTCGTCAGAAAAACTAAATAAGTGATTTTGGCCCGACCCAGGATTTGAACCTTAGACCACATGCTCTACAGTCGTGCTTACGATCACCAAACGAGGCAGTATATTTATATAATCAGATATCACACCTTTTGTAATATGATGGCAAAAAACATCAATCATCATCAACAGTCTTTATATTACAAATCATTAACAACATCACTTTATGAACGTCCATGTGAATGAAGTCGCAAATGAATGAAGTATACCTATTTTATTATATTAGAAATTATCTCAGACCGCACAGCATAGCACCATAACTCAACAACTATGAATAAACCAATAATAGGATTTTGTTGTACTTAGAACTTTTTTATTGCATTTTTAATAATGAATAATTAAAATAAGTAATAATTTTAATTGTTACTTACAACATTACTAACAATATATGGACTCATTCTCTGAAATGAAATTACTATGGGGTATTTTTTTTTTTTTTCTTTATTTTTTTTATAGAATAGGGTGACAAACAAGCACACAGTCCACCTGATGGTAAACGTGTTTCGCTGCGGCCCATAGACATCTACATCTACCTTCCATTACAAATCAAAATGCAGATGCGTTGTCACCCGCGAGGACTGAGATGGAATGCCTCATTTCCAGTAACACAGGGTCTCCGGTTCTCTACACTCACCATACGAAATACAGCAGCATTAAGCTACTATTTCACCTGGTATTCTGTGAGAGCGTGGTACTTCCCCGGTCGAGCCGACCCATTCGTGCTACAACTATACTAATAATATAACTGCATGTCTCTGAATGAAATTACTACGTGTATTCATAAAGTAATCTCATCTGGTTGGGCTGAATAAATATATAAAAGGAAATGATAAATATAATATATACTTAAATATATATTGAATGTACTAATATAAATAAATAAATAATACATAAATGAATAGAAGCGCAACCAGATGGAAACCATAAGTAGGGGAGACCAAACGGCCAAGGGTTAGGAGGACAAGGAACCGGCGGCCGATGCAGGCGGTATGGAGGAGCACATTTGAGCCCGGAGCGGTCCGGCGTTCCTGTCGTCTCATTATTAAAAAAATATTATAATGATTATTTAATCACATCATAGCAGACCAATAATAAAGTATCACCATCGTATCGGGATCTGGTTTCGACATGATTGGGTAAATTTCGTACCATAGAATACTATATTTTATGTGTTATAGTATTCTATGTTTCCTACCATTTCATAACCTCGCTCTGCTATGAGAACAATGCGCTATGTATTTTTGTTGTTTATGTTGTGATATGTTTTAAAAGTTGATGTATTTCCCTTACAAATGTATATAATTATAACAAACAATACAGATAACTGTATAATTTTTTTGTAAACGTTTATAGGTGGATAATGAGGATCTTCTCCTGTCTCCAAATCTTTCGGATACTCATCTCGAACAAAACACTTCAGAACAGGGGGAATACAGAGTACAAGGGATCACGATTAAAAACTTTATGCCTATGCGGGCTTGGACTCTGTCATACAATGGCGAAATGAAGTAATTTTTTTCAGTTTACGCTTAAATTACACTCAATCTATATTGCTATACGTCCAGCTGGGGTTTCCAGGTCATTAAACCGAAAAGCCAGACAGACCAGGGAGCTTAGCCGGACTTTTTGGTTTAAAGGCCGGACACCTTTAATTTTTTAGTCTTAGTAAAATGACATTTTTTTAAAGTAGGTAAAACAATGCTTTTTGTCATTTACCATAAAATCTTCTTGAATTGAAATGAATCACAATAAATGCTATAGTATTTATGTGAATAGATGAAAAATGTAAAGAAATGGTCAAAATTATAAAGCCGGACAGGCCGGACGCCGTTTAATTTGGCCGGACACGCAACCAAAAAGCCTGACTGTGTCCTGCTTTTTCTGGACGCCTGGCAACGCTATATCCAGCCAATGTCATGCACGATGTACGAGTGTTTTTTTTTAAATTAAATAGGGGTTACAAACGAGCACACGGTGCACCTGATGGTAAGTGGTTGCTGTGGCCCATGGACATCTACATCTATCCTCGATTACCTACGAATCAAAATGCAGATGCGTTGTCACCCGTGAGTACTAAGATGGAATGCCTCGTTTCCAATAAAAAGGGTCTCCGGTTCTCTACACTCACCATACGAAACACAGCAGCATTAAGATACTATTTTACGCTCGTATTCTGTGAGAGCGTGGTCCTTCCCCGGTCGAGCCGACCCATTCGTGCTACAACTATACTACTAATATAACTGCAGCATGGCTCCACCACGTATAAAAGTTACAGAGTTCTCTGTCGTTTGTCGGTTCCTCGAATTATATGCCCGGCCTCTAACAAATTCTAGCTTACTTATCAGTTGGGCTATATCTGTTATTTTTGGTCTACGGCGGGTATTATCGTTATGGATTATATCACACAAATAAATAAATAGGCGTTAAATCTCTTTAAAATTCAAACTTGAAATTTAACGAACAAACGATGCCCAGTTTTACTACCGTTAAATGTTACGGCGATTCGGGAAAACTGGGCAGTTTTGGTAATTTTAGAAGGCTATAAATATTGGATTTATTGAATCGTAAAATTTTCTTTAGCGCGTTATTGTTACTAAATATGAAAACAATTCCTCTTATATGTGTGATGGATCTAATATGTGTAAATCTCTGTCAAGTTGCAATAACAATAACTAAGTATACCTATTAAAATCACACCAATTTGGTAGAGACATAATTTTAGCAGTATTTTATTTATTTTTATTTATTTATTTATTTGCTTTTTTCAGGGAAACATACAGTACAATAAAAAAATACATTATAAAACATATAAAAGTAATCCTAAAACCAATGAAGTTTCCACAGATATCTAAAACATATTAAAAGCTTGCAACCACAATATGTTTAAAGATTGAAAAAAAAAATACCTAAATGGATTTATAATTAAACATTAAGTTCTAAGCATAAAATAAAAGTAATACAATACACACGACCTATAGTGAAGCTACCAATTATAAATTAAGTTTTACAATATTTTTTTTATAACTATTGTATTTAAGGTGAAAAATATCTAGTTCACAATATTTTAAGTTAAAATTTTTACATGTACGAGATACAAAATTATTAGAAGCGTACTTCGTTTTTACTTTACGTAATGCAAAAAAGAGGCTTTTTTTCGTGCACCTAACCGGTGACACGCAAGATTCACTTTGCTTAAAAGTAGGGGTGAGTCGATGATATTATGTAGCAATTTGTACAACAACATTTGATCTCTTATATCACGGCGTTTTTCGAGTGTATAACTGTGTAAGCTATCAATAAAGGAGTCTACGGAAGAATCATATCGCTTTAAGTGACGCAGAAACTTATTATTGATTGTTTCAATCATTTTAACATAAACTTTGTATTGAGGATTCCAACATGAAGAGCAATATTCAAGAATATATCGCACCAGAGTATTAAATAGTATAATTAATGTTGTAGAGTTTTTAAAATCTTTTGAGATACGCATCACAAAACCTAGCATTTTATAAGCTCTTTGAGTTATTATATTAATATGTGATCTCAGTAACAACTTACTATCCAACTGAACACCAAGATCACGCAGTTCATTTACTCTCTTTAGTAAATTATCGTCGAGCTTGTAGTTAAAGAGGATTGGATTCTTTTTCCTAGTAAATGAGATAATATTACATTTCTTGATGTTCAAGTAAATATGATTTGCTTGGCAATATGAGCTAAGCCTACACAGATCCTCTTGAAGTAGATTGCAGTCTTCTATAGATTTAATAGATCTGAAAATTTTTATATCATCTGCAAAAAGGAGAATTTTGGAATTATGGAAGCAGGATATTACATCATTTATAAATATTATAAACAGTAGTGGACCAAGATGCGAACCCTGAGGAACACCTGAACAAACTGGGAGAAAAGATGAACAGTGTCCTTTTATTGCAACTGCCTGACTACGATTTCTAAGATAAGAAGATATCCATCGAAGTAAATCACCATGTACACCGATTTGATCTAATTTGTGTATCAGAATACTATGTGAAATTTTGTCAAATGCTTTTGTAAAATCGGTGTACACTGCATCTACCTGCAGTCCACTATCCATTGCAATATAGAGGTGATCAAGAAACTCGCAAAGATTACTTTCTGTAGACTTTCAACCTATAAAACCATGTTGTTCAGGAATTATAATTGGTCGAGCTATTTGGGAGAGTGTGTCATAAATAATTTTCTCAAATAGTTTTGGAATCGAGTTTAATTTTGAAATTGGACGGTAATTTGAAATGTCGTGCTTATTACCACTTTTGAATATGGGAGTTATGAACGATTTTTTCCATTCTAAAGGCATTTCACCCAACTTCATGGAAGTTCTAAACAAAATTGTTAATGGTTTAGCTAATTGACGGTAACATCTTTGTAAAAACAAGGGTGGAATGCCATCAGGTCCTGGTCCCTTACTGACATCTAAGCGTTTTAAATACATTGAAACTTGAGGAACTGTAAAAGTGACCGAATTTATACTAATCGAGTGAGCGGAGTTAGAAATTTGAGTATTATGATTTGGACTATTAACACTAAAAGCTGAGCTAAAATGAGTATTGAATAAATCACATATTTTCACAGGATCTGAAGTCGTATTATCATCTAGAAACATTATGTCAGGAAAATCATTACATTTTCGTTTTGATTTTACAAAAGACCAAAAGAATTTACTATTAATACCAATCTTATATTCAGCATTATTGATAAACTTGTTATAACAGTTGTCCTCCATAATTTTTTGTCTCTCTCTTAGTATGGCAAAAGACTTGTAATCACTATCCTGTTTATACACCTTCCACTTGCGATGAAATTTTAATTTTTCATTTACAATTTTAATCAATGCGCTATTATACCAAATTGGGTACTTAGTGTTAAATTTAATAGTTTTAGTAGGTACGTGTTTTTCTATTATATTATTTAAAATGTTATAAAAATTCGACACAGAGACATCGATATTACCGTCACTCAAATTAGATTCCCAGTCTATTTGCGTTTTGTATAAAATCAGCCCTGTTTCGTATGACGAGTGTAGAGACCCAAAATCCCTTTTTACTGTAAACGAGGTATATATGTGTATCTATATGTATTTTATTTTATATATGTATATAGTATAGTATTTAGGTATATGAATGTCTGTATGTATGGATGTATGTATATGTTCTTATTATCTTTATTTTATATTAAGTATATTAATATTATAAAATTTATTATGAGAGTGCACATTTAATCTGCTTCTCTTTTAATCTGTCCAGTATTAGGCCTGCTGGAAGAAATTTCAATATGAAATAAGCAGTGCCTTTGTACAAAATATCTTTTTAATTTTCATTGTAACATTACTTCGTGTGTATATAAATAAATAAATATTCCATCTTAGTTCTCAGGGGTGATAACGCATCTGCATTTTGATTCTTAATCGAGGATAAATGTAGATGTCTATGGGTCACAGCATCCACTTACCATCAGGTGGACTGTGTGCTCGTTTGTCACCCTTATTTTATATTAAAAAGTTTAATGATGATTATGAAAACGTATGACGAGCATTAATCATTACTAAAGGAAATGAGTTTTAGGTCCAGATCAAACCCAGAGAAACGAGTAAAAGTGGAAGTAGCATTGACTTGGAGCGCGTATTGGACGCCATACGAGTACGACACGCACATGCCTCCGAGTAGCATCGCTGACGTTATGGCCCGTGAACCCTGGTCCTCTGATTACTTTAGGTTGCTTAAAAAGTGAGTAATAAATAAGTATATTTTTTGTTTTTTCTGAGATTGCCATAATACGCATGTCACAATAACACGGGTTGACGGTAATATATAGAGGAAAAGTAAAATAAAATATTCTACGGTTGATCTGAGGCCACCTCTTTGTTTTTTTAAGTAATTATGAATTTTCTGCTATTTTGCGCCATCTTAAAAAGTCAATTTTAACTCTTTCCCTGTTCCGTGAATCATACATGAACATTACGATTGTTTAACTATTGTGTCTACACCGCGGACAGGGAAACTGTTAAAATATATACTTTTTACTTCCTAACCGTTGTAGCTCAAGGAAATACGCTCGGCTTAAACCCCTCTCTCGCAACCCAAAAATCCCCTTTCGAACACCAAACTAGGATTTGGTTTTTTTTAATTAAAGAGAACGTTAATTATGACGTAATAATTAATAATCAATTAATAATTACCGCGGAACTTCACATGCTTCTAGACATGTATTATACGTTGACATTTAGAATTTTGTACAAATTGGATGAGTTCAATTATTTTTCAGATTACATCAAACACACTATGAACAAATGGGATTTATTAAAGGAACTGCTATCATTGACGGGAAAGTACATTTACTAAACATGCCGTGCTTAAGAGATCGCAGCTTTGGTGAGATTACGAAAATATTTTATACGGGTTTTGCAATATATTTGCCCGGCTATTCAGGCGAATGGTTAAAATATAATTAAAAAAATCTGAAACATTCTGTACTTTTTATCTTTTAAATTCATAATGCATTATTAATAAAAATCTAAAGGACGCCACACATGGTCAGTTAAAATGATCAGTTGAACTGACGTACATCCAAAAACTGACCATGAGTGTGGAATCTTAAGTTGAAATTTTCAACTGCCGACAACCCACGGATTTTTTCCGTCGCACTGTCAGTTGAAACTGCTCAGTCGACGTCACGTCACGTCATGCTTTTCGTCCGCGATGAACTCCTAAACTACTTAACCGATTTTAATCAAATTTGCACCCCCTGTGCAGTTTGGTCCAACTTGAGACAACTTTTCTTGCCCACAATTTTTTTGTGCGATTTTAAGGATTTTTAATTGGACATAACAAATAACGTCTGCCTGGCAAGCTAGTTATTTTATAGTATATATTTAGAGAATTTCGTTTGACGGTGGATGAAGACTAAGATGACAGTGATGATGTCACCTTCCCTATGATTGACTCAGAAGATGGGTGAAGGATCTTAGTGATGCTATGTAGAACCATCGTGTTTTTTTAGGGTTCCGTAGTGAACTAGGAACCCTTATAGTTTCGCCATGTCTGTCTGTCCGTCTGTCCGTCCTCGCTTAATCTCTGTGACCGTTAACACTAGAAAGCTGAAATTTGGTACCAATATGTGTATCAATCACGCCGACAAAGTGGTAAAATAAAAATTGGAAAAAAATGTTTTATTAGGGTAGCCCCCCTATATGTAAAGTGGGAAGTGATTTTTTTTTAATTTCAACCCTAACGTGTGATATATTGTTGGAAAGGTATTTAAAAATGAATAGGGGTTTACTAGAATCATTTTTTGATAATGTCATTAATTTCGGAAATAATCGCTCCAAAAAAAAAACAATGTGTCCCCCCCCCCCCTTTAACTTTTGAACCATAAGCTTAGAAAATACGAAAAAAATCTGAAAAGTAGAACTTTATAAGGAATTTCTAGGAAAATCATTTTGAACTTGGATGGAAACAACAGTACCCACTACCGGGAGCAGTTGCAGGAGCGCGGAGCGCTGCTGGAGCGCGAACATAATGGATACCCACCTTTAAACTCATAAGTGGGAACATTTATTGTGACGGACGGGAAACTACGGAACCCTACACTGAGCGTGGCCCGACACGCTCTTGGCCGGTTTTTTTTCGTGTTAGATTGACGGCAGTTCGACTGAGCAGTTTCAACTGACAGTGCGACGGAAAAAATCCGTGGGTTGTCGTCAGTTGAAAATTTCAACTTAAGATTCCACACTCACGGTCAGTTTTTGGATGTACGTCAGTTCAACTGATCATTTTAACTGACCGTGTGTTGCGTCCATAACACGTACTACTTTACTACGTTCGCAAACATTCGTAAGGTTCGCGCACGTACGCGTACTTGGCCATAAATTATATTTAATTTTGGATAATTTCAAATAAAAGTAGAAGCCTTATTTACTCATATTTTCAAATAATGCAACAACAGCATATACTGTTATTGCGGTATTTGAAAATACGAGCCTTAACATTATTTATATATTTGAACTTAAATATTAAATATGAATACTTTTTTATAGGATGGGGTGACAAACGAGTACACAGTCCACCTGATGGTAAGTGGTTGCTGTGGCCCATAGACGTCTACATTTATCCTCGATTACGAATTAAATTGCAGATGCGTTGTCACCCGTGAGGACTAAGATGGAATGCCTCGTTTCCAGTAAAAAGGGTCTCCGGTTCTCTATACTCACTATACGAAACACAGCAGCATTAAGCTACTGTTTTATACTGGTATTATGTGAGCGTGATCCTTACCCGGTCGAGCCGACCCATTCGTGCTACAACTGTAATATAGTTGCAACGTGGGCGTGGCTCTACCACGTATGAATACTGTTTGAAAAATAACCCTGTATTAATTTCATGTATAGATTTTCAGCCAAATTGAATAATTCGTACGATGTTAGTGTATACCATTTACATATTTTATTTTTACTTGCATATTCTTTTGCTTTCCCTTCCGAATAGCACAAGATAGTTTTTTGATTTTTTTAGTGAGAATAGATTTATTAAGAAATAGTTTTTTCTTATTTCTCAGACATGCAAGTTTCCTCACGATGTTTTCCTTCACCGCCGAGCACGTGGTTAATTTGCAATTAGCAATTTCATTGGTTCCGGCGGGGATCAAGCGGGGTACCCGTGGCTTAAGATAATTCATTTTTATGATTCAGGAGATCAGAAGGTTAAGAAACGGGAGAATTGTATTTTCCAGACAAATTATATTAAACATAAAATATAAATTTTCTTAATTTGTATATTTTTCAGGTCCTTTACGAGATTGGCGAAATTTCCACCGATATGTCTATCACTTTATTTTTCTTGAAAATGGCGACTGCATGGCTGTCGGTACGGTATCAGAGCCGACTGTTCTCTCTCAGTTAGTATAGTATTCTCATCAAATCTATAGTTTGCACGTATTACGATATAAGTAGAAGTGTAACAAAATCCACAATATCTTTCAACATTTTAGTATTTTTTTAAAGTTTCTAAATATTTTATGTACTTAATTAATTCCTTAATTCTTTCTTTATATCGTATTACATAGCCGATTACTATGTACTGCATGACTTTAAGTTACTACTATAACCTTTCTTTATTCCTTTTTTACCCAGAAATTATCATTTAATAAAATTAATAATTTCTCACATTTAATTTATAAGAAGCATTGAAAGACGAAATGAGATCTTTTATCTCGCGTCACCAACAATGATATTGAGATTGTAATAAGTCCTAAGTTCACTCAAAAGGCTAAAAAAATATCATCATCATCATCATCAGCCCGCGGCAGTCCACTGTTGGACATAGGCCTCTCCCAAGGCGCGCCACTTAGTCCGATCTTCGGCTACACGCATCCAGTTGCTGCTAGTCATCTTGCAGATCTTCGCTTCGATAGGCAGGGAGCGTTCTACACTGCGTTAAGCTAAGCATGGTCTCCACTCTATGACACGTCCACACCAATGGTTATCGCTTCTGCTACGGATGTGATCAGCCCATTTTCATTTCAGCTTGCAAATTCGGAATGCTAAATGGCTTGGTTCTCCGGCGGATTTCTTCGTTACGAATCTTATCCACCAGAGAAACTCCGAGCATTGCTCTTTCCATCGCTCTGAATCTCTGAACTAACTCTTATACGCCACCATCACACGGTAATTAAAACATTAATACATAAAATGATTTCAGTTTAACCATTGGATATGTTTGCCGCAAGATCGATAAGGCAGTTTTATCAGTTGATTCTAGTGACTTCCAATTGTATCAACATGGAGAGAACCAAATTCTGCCGAAAGATTACGGATTCGTTTTTAAATCTGGTTAGTTGTAATTTCATTTATTTATTAAATAATTATCTAAATAATTTTTATTTCAGATACATAATTTTTTTTTTAATTTTCTATAGACGGTTATAGCATTATGTTATTCAGTTTTGTTTTTTAGGTGGCCAATCGTATGCTGCAAAGGTAATGGTTAACGATGAAGACGTATTTTATATTGGCAAAGAAAGAGAAGCGAAATTTTACGAGAGATGGTGTTCTGTTGAAGTGAACGGCGTGAAAGGCTGGGCTTGTGTAGAGTGGCATTATAATAATGTTCAAAACAGAAATAAAAAATAGAACAATAATATGTTGGCTCCTTTTATTTAGATTGCGTAAATTACCCATACTTTATTAACTAATTATGTTGTTATTAAATATTATATTTTAATACATACATGCACTTATTATCCATAAAATTAAAAAAAACCTGCAAATCTATAAGTATTCTTTAGTTAGGAAGGATTATAGTTCAATTATTTATAGTAAAAACCATTTTAAGCTGATAGTTGTTATTGTTATCTCGGAAACTATGTTGTGCGGTACAGGAAAATGTTTAAAATAAAAATTTCACGTAAAATTTTGTTGTAAAATGATGTTGAAGTAAAACAAATGAAAAAATCGATTTTGAATCAACTTTAAGGGATAGAAATTAAAAAAAGGTTTTTTATGAGATAGCTACTGAAAATATTTATTTTATGAGGATTAGCGGAGATGAAATTATCTGGGTCTCCTAAAAGATCAGGATTAGTTAATGTTAATATATTTAAAAATATTAGCCCTTCAACCGCTATAAAAATCCCATGCAGTCGCATGCGCTCGGCAAATCCCGAGCGGTCGTATGCGACCGCACCCACCCACAGCATTAAAACTTATATTTAGAGACTACTTTTCTATGAAGAAGTTTAGCATTATAAAATTTATACTAAATTCTCTATAATTGTGGTCTAAACAAAAGTCAGGTTTTACTTTAATACACAAAGATTTTATTGTATTTTGATAACAAAAAAAAAAAACATACCAAGCGAATGTCGGCAGCGTGAAAATCACAATTATTTCAATATATATTACTCGACATTATTTACGTAAAAAGATAAATTATATTCACTCAAAAACTTTCATTACAATTTTATAATAAAACATTATACTAAAACACTAATAAAACACTAGAAAAATCTAAATATCAACTCAATAACACGGCGTACGAAATGAACGTAGATTATAAATAGGAGTTTTTTTTATTGCACTAGAGGATAGAGTATTTCATATTGATCATATAATGCCAAACTTCTTCATAGAAAAGTAGTCTCTATATATAAGTTTTTATGGGTTAAAGTGATGTCGGTGGGTGCGACCTCATGAGATCGCTAGGGATTTGACGGAATATGGCCGCGGTCTCATGAGACTGCTAGGGGGTTGAGAAGTATATGATAATAAATCCAATTAAATCCTTAAAAGTAAAGAATGGATAAAAAGGAATTTTATCTATTTTCTATTAATTCATAAAGTATTATTAGAACCTATTTGATGCAAGAATAATAAATGAATTATAGTTTATATTAAAATAATAAATGGAACAGTCATGAACTACAGGCTCAATTAAAAATATATACACACAATATAGTCTAGTGTTGACATATAACTGTGTAGTGGCCTGTAAGCCCTGACACTTGTTACTTTGAGGCTCCGACGAACAGAAAAAATATTAAAAATGGTTATTCATGTCTAAATAGCATGCCAATAGGACCCAGTTATGTTGATATCACAGACGTTAGTTAAAATAATCGATTACCCCACATCATCCAGCGGGTGCCGTAAGGGGCGACAGAGGGAAACTAAGAAAGGAGATGGGCAGCTCTACATCTTCCTGATAACACCCGACATAAATAAAAAAAACTGTGGTTTCCAACTTGCCTGCCACTGCCAGTCGCTACGATTATACGATATATGACATGGCAACCCCCTTCCAAACTTTAAAGTTAAGTTACAGCCTATATACGTCCCACTGCTGAGCACAGGCCTACCCTCATTTCTGAGAGGCTTTTAGTGCAAGGAAGTGTCCGCCGCGCAGGCCCAATGCGTGTTGGCGAACTTCAAATGTTTTCGAAATATATATTTTTCTTATTCCTCAGACATGCAGGTTTCCTCACGATTTACCACGTGCTCGGCGGTAAATCAGCACTAAAAATTGCAATTAACAATGTCATTGGTGCCGGCGGGGAACGACCCGGGGTTACTCGCGTTCTGTTATATTTACAGCGAGCGTTAACCATCTGAGCTACCACGGCTCCCAAACATTAACGTGCAATAAATGTAAACTGGCTGCTTCACGTGCAGAGTTCATAAAATTAGCGGCTCATTTTCGGGTAGATTTACAATAACAAGATTCCCCTGCAATATTAGATTTGACTGCCTCTTTGGTCTAGTGGTTGTAGTAGCGCGACTACTGATCATGAGGTCCTGGGTTCGAATCCCGGGTCGGGTGAAAATAATTAATTATTGAGTTTTTCCGTCAAGAAATTCTCAGTAGCTGCCCAGAGTCAGGAAGTTGGCGGTATATCATCCCCGTGCTTCGGAAGGCACGTAAAGCCGTTGGTCCTACGCCTGATCTCTCTCTGGTCGTGTCGGTTTACCGTCCTATCGGAATATGAGAGTGATGGAATAGAGAGTGCACCTGTGCTTGCGCATACACTTGGGCACTATAATCCTGTCCTGTGCCGATAGCTTGTCTCCGTTGAGGCTGGCCGCCGTGACAGAAATTCGGTCTGGAGGACATTATTATTAGATTTACATTCGCGTTAATCCGAAGCATGTAAGGTGAAATTAAGAAGCAAATGGGTACCTCATAAACTGAGTAACGTACAGCGAAAGGCCCGCGCCCAAGCTTGCATCATATTACTGATTTGGTGTAGAAAGGAGGGAATTTTGAGACAAATTGTTACCTGCGATAAGTACCTATATCCTATACGATAGATTAGCTAAAAAAAGTTTATGGTGACAGTTTGATGGTCTACTGTTGGTGTTATTCACTGTAGCTTCTGGCCTCTGGCTCTTGCCATCTGGTGGTACTGTCACTGCTGACAAGCTAGTGAGAAGCTGGAATTCAAACAACCCAGGCTGGTATACTGCTCTTAGTGATAAAACTTGTATACTGCTCAAGATTTTTTACGTGGTGGAGCCATGCTGCAATTATATTAGTAGTATAGTTGTAGCACGAATGGGTCGGCTCGACCGGGGAAGGACCACGCTCTCACAGAATACCAGCGTAAAATAGTAGCTTAATGTTGCTGTGTTTCGTATGGTGAGTGTAGAGAACCGGAGACCCTTTTTACTGGAAACGCGGCATTCCATCTAAGTCCTCACGGGTGACAACGCATCTGCAATTTGCCTAGGTAATCGAGGATAGATGTAGACGTCTATGGGCCACAGCAACCACTTACCATCAGGTGGAATGTGTGCTCGTTTGTCACCCTATCCTATAAAAAAAAAAACACCCGGCCACATATTGCACAACAGACGCTGAATTAGCAGTGTTAAAGCAAGAGAGACCCTTTCTTCATACCTTGCCCCACACACTTTTTTCAAAGTTTACATAGCTAGCTTTTTGATAGGCAAATCTCAATTCCGAAAAAATAGTAGGAACGCCTCTAGAGTTATCGATTCTCTTTGCAGAAGACTTTTTTATGGCATGAATTACTGCCTATAAAATGGTACGAATGTGTTGATAGTTTCACAAATATTTTGTTTAATTGAAGTTCTTTTGTAAATAAATTATAATAATTTTGTGATCTTAAAGAAACGAGTTACTTCTTTTTCAAAGGCCGGTTCATTTACGATTCCTCTGGTGTTACACACTGAAGCTGTCACTATGAGATGAGGCTGCAGGTTTTTTTATCTCCTCTTTTATATAAAATAGTCACCTCTCATTTCATATTAAGCGCATTGAGTTAAACACTAGAGGAGCAAACCACATTACCGCGCGTCGAAAAAAGTGTAACCAGTATCCAAACGCGACGACGTAGCTTTGAAACTAATAACAATTTTAAATAAACATATATCTATCTCACTTACACAAGTTGCAAAAACAATATCGTCGCTAAGATTAGATAAAGATAGACACACAAACATGCAATGGCGGGTTGGTGTGGCTTACTATATGAAATTTTACCTAAAATACGCAATAAAAATGAGTATTTTTTGAGCTGCAGTTAATTGTTTTTATATTAAAAAAGTATATTTTATTTTAAAATCTTTATTGCGTTCCCTTAGAAAAAAAGGATACAAAGCTTATCAGATGAATAGAAGTAAACGTAATGATGAAATAAAACATATTTTTATAAGTATTTTTATTGTACTAATAAATCTAACAATATAAAAAAGGTAATAAAATATAATTCATATAAAATTATAATTAATATAAAATAGGTAATAAAATGTATTTAATAGATAATTCATGAATAAACTAAAATAAGAATGATTAATTATTTTGTATGAAAGTTAAAACGTAGTTTTTATTATAATTTCCAAAATATTTAAAATCAGAGGTAACTAATTAACATACTCCATTAATTATATAGTCTCCCATTAATGTAGGATAAACACAAATGCGGAAAAGTGGCAACATTGAACCTAAATGGCAATATTCGATAATTTTATTTAATTATTTGAGGTTTTTTACGTTTATATGAAAATAAGAACTAAAAATTATATGTTGAAAGTGATTCCGCTTGAATTAATCAACGTTTTTGTTACCTTGAATAGCATTCTTTCACTACGCATTTAGCGATTTTTTGTGGCGGCTCAACTCTGTCGGCGTCACATTGAACACTGAACTGACGTTAGCGAGGCATATGGCTGTGGCCATATGTGCAGTGGCAACGCTTTGGCGCGGTTATTACTGATCTAGTGTAATATATAAATCAATGATTAAGTGTGTTAAGCCTTAACATTCACGGGTAAGTAAGAACGAGTTAATGCTAGTGTTTGTGGTTGGTGCATGCATTTGTGTACCTACGAGAATATTATGTCATACAGATATATCTATTAAAGTGTGATTGGAATTTCAACGAATGCATAATTGGATAACTTAAATATCACAAAAGAGTTGCCAATAATTTGTGTAATGTACTGCTGTACCATGTGTATCTAAAGATTGGCTAAGTGTATCTAAAAGGATCGATTACTTTGGTTTTAAAGAAAAATATAGTTTCAAAAGAAATAAACGACTGATCAGTAGATGCGGCCTAAAAGTTTAGCTTAAAAATGATGGGCAGTTGTTTAAATGCGGAAAGTGCCGCTAT